ACACATAGATAGAAGTCGTTGAAGCCATATAAGGGTTTATTGATCCATTATATAAAGGATTTAATGATTATCAACATGCTTTAATAATAGCAAGAATGCATTTAGGCATGAATTTTTATATATCAGACTCTCTTAGGCATTATGTAGAACCTCCAGTTAGTTATTCAGTAACCAACGATTCAAGTCATATTTTGTTTTGTGATCACTGTGAAACCATGAAAAATAATTACAAACTTTTAAACGAAGAAATCTACAAGCGTAGAAACAAAAAACAAGATCTAATTAATAGAATTAACAATTTACAAAAAAAGTTTGCATTCTCAACAAACAGAAGTAATAAATATTTCTATCGGTTCCTCTTTTGATCCCGAAAAGAAGAGTAAGATGGGTACTCACTCCCCAATGAGTGATACAGAAGGTACTAGTAAGCCAGAGAAGTTACTAGCTAGTCTAGTGAGTCCGACAACTAGTAAAGACTTATCAAATCCGGTGATAGCTATGGGATTGCTAAAATCTCAGGAGACACAGAGGACTCCTGATTCCTCTACAAACAAAAATAAGGAGACACAGGGGACTCCATTTTCCTCTACAAATAAAAATAAACAAACAATAGAAATTTGGGATTCACTTGGAGAACCAGGAAAACACAAATATTTCTTAGTCAGATATAGCCCTTCACCCAGTCCAAATAATCCAGAATTTCCCACTTTTACCCTAATCCCAGAAAACCCACATTCTTGTATTTTTAAAGATGCCCAAAATCCAAATTATTCTTAAGAAAGCCTCCAAAATATTACAAACCAAATAGAAGACCATAAAAAATATTATGAAGCCTCTTCCTCTAGAAAAAATCCAAAAAAGAAAAGATTCGATGAAAAAACTCTTCAAGAAGCAGTTAATAAAACGATTCAAGAAATATTGAAGACTATAATTCCATATTTAGATGACAATTAAGAAAAAACTATTGTTGAAGAGGAACAAAGAAAAAACACTCCTATGCCAGCTTATTTGTCATGTCCAATTGATAATGTATCTAGCGAAGAAAGTGGAAGCAATAATTCAGAAAATCAATTTGGTCCGGATGAAGACAACAATCAATCAGATGGTGCATTTTCTTTTGATTCGATTGCCAGACACAATCTCGACACTTGAAGATTTTTTACTATTGAAGATTCTCTAGAAGATTAAAAAAAACTACTATTAAAGATTTTTTAAAGATAAAAAACGATAATTTTAGTCAACAATGATAGACAAATCATTTACTATTACAAAATTTCATTTCAAAGAAGACGACAACTTCCATTATGAAGCATTGATGGAAAAGACCTCAACCACAAATTTCCACCATCTAAATTTATGGAGACAACTTTATGAAGGACACTTGTGCATTTTTCAGTAGTTTCGGTAATATTTTCCCTTTCAAATTCCCTATATAAATAAGCATTTGTTTAGAAGTTAGACACAACTACCAAGAAGCAAAAAACCCCTCCCTCTCACTCTTTCAACCCATTCACTTAAAAGTTCTTGAAGCTCTTCTTCTATTTTGTTGTATAAACGTTGTAAGATATCCAAGTTTGGATGTAAGTTTCTTTCCTTTATTTAATTTTAGTTTTTAAGGGATTTCCCGAATGGGAAAACCTTAAGTCCTTTAATATCATGGAATTTTAGTTCGAGGTTCCCATATGTTTCTATGATATTTTAATTCTCATTTATAAATTTATTGTAAAATATACTGTAAGATAAAATAAAGTTTGTTTAACAAAAATATTGATTATAATAATATTTGTTCATATCTCATCTTAATAGTGTTTATAATCTTTATTTCTTACTAAGTGACGCACATATTGGACATACGAAGGCCCAAAGTGAGCTTATTATAAAGTCATTTTCTGGTGGGGAAATGTATTTAATAGAGATTATACAAAAAAAAATATAGGGAACAAGAGTAAAATTATATTAATATTAAAAAACCAACTTAAGGAAAGTACCAAGTACAAATTTTACACATTATATAAAACACATACACACACGATACATAAAACACAACACATAACACGATACATAATACACATACATGATACACAACACACGTCAATAAAAGCTTGTATCGTACTATTAGACTTATACTTGTCTTCCATTTGCAAAATAATAATAATAATAATTATTATTATTGTTAATATCACATCTTAATAGTGTTTATAATCTTTATTTCTTACTAAGTGAATTATATATATATATATATATATATATATATATATATATATATATA